GATGTGGCATTTATGGCCTTGGCCAGTGGTGACAAAAGACAACGGGGTCAGCTGGCTTCCCACCCTGCCAGAAGGGATGAACCAGTCCCCTCAGACACCTCAGATGTTTGCACTGCCCTAGGAGGGCTAACAAAGACACCTGCAGCTTGTCAGCAGCAGTAAGTTGTGACAGAGCAGGTCTCAGCTCACACACATGCCATGAGCCTCAGGCATGCAGCCACAGCCTGTGCTGAGACAATGTCCCTGCAAGCCAAACTGCAGGGGAGATGTCTCCCATCCATCAAGCTGTTCGCCAGCCTGTCCAAAAATAGCCCATAAACCTTCCCTCTTTTAAGAAGGAAATGCCTACTGGCTGTTGAAGGTGTGCTGACCACTGTGGTGGCACTTCCAGGCTTAGAGCTGTATGCAGAACACCTACAAACACAGCAATGTCATTAAAAAAAAAAAAAAAAAAAAAAAAAAACAGAAACCCCTCCCACAACCTTCTACACCATTTTAGTCCAAGCCAGGCTTAGAGCTGTATGCAGAACACCTACAAACACAGCAAAGTCATTAAAAAAACCAGAAGCCCCTCCCACAACCTTCTATACCATTTTAATCCAAAAACAGGTATTCAATTAAACATAATGTAGGGCATGTGAGTCCATATTTAGTCCTTTCAGTCTGGGAGTTCTTTGTCATCTTTTGGGAATTTTTTTGGTTCTAGATGTTTGGTTTTTAATGGCAATGAAATGTAACTGCATATAATCAGATGTAGCTGTTTCCCTCCCTAGGATAAAATATGCTGAGTTTATATATGTCATTAGACCACTTTTTAAGTAGCATTAGTTTGAAGTAACTTTAAAATGAGTTTATTTGAAAAAAAAACCCGAAAATACTAACCAGAACCTCTTAATGGACCTTCTGGTCCATTTGCTCTGGAGTAAGTTTAATCATGGGAAGGATTTTTCTGTGTCACTCTTTAACAGTAGCTGTGGATAAAAAAATCCCAACTTGGTTGTTAAATTGCAAGCTGAGTGTGCAGGCCTGGCAGGCAGCCAGCTGAGCAAATGTCACCTCTGCTGAACAAGACAGTAGTTGAGGAATCCTGTGGCTAAGCTGATTACATCCTTGTTCAAGGCAGCATTTTAAGTAATGGGAAACTACTCCTTTCAGGAGATCTTTGGGACTGCATAGGAGATGCTAATAAAAGCATATACTGTTTGGATTTAGCCCTCATTACGTTTGGTGGAGGGTTTTTTAAATTATAGATATATTTGCCAACATTAGCACTCTAAAAGAGATTTTTTTCTTTCTAGTGATTGCACATCCTGAATGACTTCACATTGTGCTTCACACCTTGTAGTAAAATCCAGGCGTAGTAATTCAGGCCATAATTGAATACTGTGTGGAGAACACAGGTACAGTTTGGAGTTTAACTGCACTTCTTCCCCCCACCTCTGCTCTTTCACGTAGGTTGTACAGGAGAATGAAAACGTTGTCTTCTGCTTGGAGTGTGCCCTGCGGCACGTGGAGAAGCAGAAGTCGTGCCGGGGGCTGAAGATGATGTACCGCTACGATGAGGTGAGCGTGACACCGGGCCAGGGTACCCCTTTGGGAGGGCACTTTGCTCCGCCTTTGTCCTACTGAGGCCTCAGGAAAATGGTCTTGGGTTTGGGGCTTTGTCTTGGGTTTGGTTTTGATGTGGGAAGAAGGTGATTTATTATGATATAAGTAAAAAAAAACCAACAAAGGGAACATGATGACACAGAGGAAACCTGAAGCATAAATTCCATGAAATGGTCTTGGGTTTGGTTTTGATGTGGGAAGAAGGTGATTTATTATGATATAAGTAAAAAAAAAAACAACAAAGGGAACATGATGACACAGATGAAACCTGAAGCATAAATTCCATTAATATGTGCCACAGAACATAAGAAGGCACCTGATGCTTTGGGATGGAACATGAGGCTTTGCTTTCACTGGTTATGCTATGGTTAATTCTGTACTTTGGAATACCTTCCCTCTGTTGGTAACTGGAAGTTCAGTGGACTTATTCCAGGCCAGCATGATCCTGCTTTAGGACGAACTTGCAGAGCACGTGCAGATGAGAGGTGCAGTAGTGGCACCAAGCAAATGTGATGATGAATAATCCCAGAACTCAAGATGGGGACTTAGTCCTGTGCCTGGGTTCTGTGTTCCATGTCTTTAGCTGTGAGGGGACTTGGCCCCAAAGGTGAAGAGCAGAGCAGTGGGAGAAATGACACTTCAGCTGTTGTCAGTACAAGCAGCTTTTTAAGATGGAGCTTCCCAGCATTTCTGAGCACTCCACTGCACTCCTGTTTAAGTGACTCTGAAGGAAGAGCAGATGCTAATTTGTGTTTTTTCCCACTTCCTGAACAGGAACAAATAATCAGTCTTGTCAATCAAATCTGTGGAAAAGTATCTGGTAAAAATGGCAGCATTGAGAACTGTATCAGCAAGCCTACACCAAAAAGAGGACCTCGTAAGAGAGCAACAGTGGACGTGCCATCATCTAGGCTTTCATCCTCCAGTTCATCCAAAAGTGCTTCAAGTTAATCCTGAAGATGCCAACACTCTCATTTTGTCAATTTATATATATTTTTTGTAATTATTATACCATAGTTTGGAGTACTTGCTGTAGAATACAAGCTGTCTTTGCACTAGCTCTAAAGAAGATTTTCTTCTGGTTTTAGAGAACTAATTTTGTTTTAGCATTAAACTGTTGAACTTTTTTTTTTTTGTACTTAGACTAGATAGATACAGCAGTCTGATTTTTTTAAACTGCCGTATGTTCACTGTTTTAAAACCGGCAAGGGGCTGATAAAATATGAATTTGTATTGTCCCTATGGCTGAAAAAATAAAAAGCCTTTTGGTAACTGTGAAATAAAAGGCTTTTAACCCATTTTTTGACTAGGTTAAAGTTTGATGTGTTTTATAATTTGTTCTCCGGTCATGTGAGCAGATTTTTCTAGAGAGAAAAGGGATAGGAGACAAAAACTTGAAAGAAATTGCTTTACTTTGGCTGTCTTTTATTCTGTCACAGCAAGATGAGTTTTGTAATTTTTTAAATTGGAGAATACACACTTTCTTTGGGAGGTTATGGCAGCTGAAGATGGACTTTGTTTCCTAACTGTAGGCAAAAGGAGGAGATTTGGAGTATGTTCTCTTTTACCAGCACATCACTATGCATCTGTTTTGAGGGGAAAAAATAAAAAAAAATAAAAATAAAAAAAAAATTTAAAATAATAAAAAATAAAAAAAAGGAGGAAAAAAGACTGCCTGCCTTGAGGAGTTATGTGAGGGAAAACTGTGCCTGATTTCATTAGGAAATCCATTCTGTTATTTTTTGGTGCTGTTGGCTACTTTATCAAAAACCCTTCAATAGCATCCTTTAAAAAATAAAAAAAAAAGATTAAAAAAGAAAAAAGTGATTGAAGCCATAAGTGCTTCTTTTGTCATAGACGTGCAATCTTTCTAACATTCCATTTCCATTCCACTGCTGTTTTTCACACCTTTACAGTCAAGCATTAATTTTGTTTTGAATTTGTTTCATTATATGATCACATTTAGAGCCACTAGCAAGTCTGCATATTTCTTTTGAATGTGAAAATGCATTTGCTTTCATCTTGTCTATTTTTTCTCTTCATGTTGTAACAAAAAAAAAATCACACCTTTTGTACATATGCCTGTAAATTTTTTTAAATACTTGAGCCTTTTCTTGGGGTGGGGGGAGGGATGGCAGAGAGACAAGATGAAGAAAAGCCTTACGTTTCACTTTCTTCATCGGTTGGATTGGATGCTTACAGGGTTTTTCTTGTAACATTTATAAGTGCTGCTTACATCACTGAACAACAACAAAAAATAATAATGGAGTAGCTGTTGCCCTTTTCTGGTTGTGTGTACAGTATGTGTGGAATAAAAAAGGGAAAATGTTTTCACAAACTGTTTTGTTTCGTAATTGAATTCAACAATACCGTAGCTACCCATATTGCACTGAGCTTGCCAGTGGTGACTGTCAGGAAAGTCCTATAATACAATTTGTTGATTGTTGTTGCAGAAGACTGAACTGTTTTGGAATATTTAACAATAACATAAACAGAGTCAAGTGTTTTCAAATGTGGTTGTCTGGTTTTTATGGCCTTGCTGTGTACTTTTCCCTCTTGACAGTAAACTTCTGACTATGGCTTACAGTTTGACATTTAATTTATTAGCGCTGCTCTGCTCTCTTTCCTTGTAAGGAAAGACTTCATGTTGTTTATTGCCAGTTTTTTGTTTACTTTCCAGGTTTGTACTACGAGGTTTAATAAAAAAAACAAAACTTTTTTGGACATTTTGTCTGTCTTCTGGAAAGCGAGAGAGTAAAGGAAGCTCCTTCAAGATAAATTTCTTTGAACAGCTGCTTTGTTGAATAGTAAATCTCTAATTGTAGGTAGGGAGCTTCCAGCCTTCATTTCCCAGACAGGGATCAGGAAACACTTTGTCAGCTAACAGGAGAATCCTTAAGGAAACTGGCTACTGCCCAGCTGGCAAGGAGCAAGGAGATACCCCTCTTCCCAGCCATTGGCGTTGTCAGGGCAGGTCTTTGGAAGGGATCTACACCACAGCTCATCCTTTTACTTACACTGTTTCTGATTACATTCCTTCCCTCCGTGCAGGAAGAGCAGGAGCCAGGAGCCTTCTCAAAGGAGAGCAGATGCCTGAAAACAGAGCATGAGACTTGACAAGCAACAGGCATTAGACATGGTCAGACCTCAAGTTCAGAGAGAAAAATGACTGCAGAAAAAACGGGAATGAGATGATGCCTACAGGTCCTGAGGTTTCTAAAATACACAAACTTAATTAACAATTAACTCAGGTTTATCTCCCTAGTGTAGTCAAACAGATGTTACCATGGAAAAGCACATTACATTGGTGCTCCTAATCATTTATCTTCCTGAGTTAGGCTCCTCTGTTCACTTGTCATGGATAAAATACCTGGATAATCAAGTAAAAGACATGGTTGGAATAGAAATTCTTTATTTTATCTTGAAAGAGGAGTAAGTACACAATGCTAAGATACCTGCTCCACAAGGAGTGCAACATTTCCATATGCATCTCTCCTGATTCTCTGGTTCTTATTTTTTCCTTAACACCTATAACTAAGTTGGTCCTGAATAAGAAGTGTGAGAACAGTAGACACTGCTGCGTTAGTAGACAAAGGCAGGAGGCTGACAGTAGGTAGTAAAGAGTAGAAAATAACTTTTCATTTTGGTTTGGATCCTAAATCTTCAGTTGCAGCAGCTGAAAACATGCAAGGAACAATTTGGGTTCAGTATTACACATCAACTCTTAAGTACTTCCAATCAGCCATTTAAAGGTTAGTGGTCAAAGTAACTTCTACCTTTCCCCTTAAATTCTCTTATACATAGTATATACAACAGCTTTACTGCTCCCCTGAGCCCCAAGACTACTGTTAAAGTGTGTGTGCTTTAGGCATAATTTTTTCTTTAAAAACCAACCTCCACATGACTGGCAATTTTGTAAAAAGGCAGTATTACTAAGTAAAAAGATCTGGCTGTTACGCTTGGTTAGCAAATTGTTACGCAGGCAAGCTCTTCATTCACTTGTTCATTCATTCAGAAGACATTCTTAAAGGATATGGTTTTAAGATTCAATTAGTTTGAGAGTCACTTTCATCACTGCCATCTGAAGCACCCTTTCTCTCAGTTACAGCAGCAAGGGCAGTGTCCACCTGAACCTCCTCTTCATCCGACTGGACAACGGGGGACTCTCCCTCGCTGGCGTCCTGGCTGGCCGAGTCGGTGCAGGTCGAGGACAGGGAGCAGAGTTTCTGCCGTAACTCCGACTGGCTCGGCACCTGGAGACTGATCTCGTTCACGTAGGTGTTGGAGTCAGGCCCTGAGAGGTGGGAAACAACAGCAACAGCAACCATCAAGCTGTGGCTCAGCAAGGGCATTGAGAAGTCAATGCATTAACATCAGCTCAGCACTGGTTAAGGAGTCACTTTCAGCCTGTTTTCCTTCTTTCCCAAGACACCAAGTACCACCCAATAAACTCAGTGTAACAGAACTACAAAAATTGGAAATTTAAAACCAAACAAACAACTAGGAAGCAGGCAATAAGTCATCACCAGTTTTGACTAAAAATGAAAATGCAAAAGTAAATCAAATTTAATTCAGCATGAAAGCAATCCTTTGGTAGAGCTATACCCCACCTCAAGTGCACAGGGGTGGGGATTTTAGGACTGCTTCTTCCATATCCTGTGCAAAGAAGACTTGTAACACAGTGCAACACTGTTTGCTTGCAGTTTGAGAGTTCAAGTTACAAAATTAGATCCTCTTCCCTGGACAGTTCCAGACAGCAAAAAAGTTAAAATCAGGAAACACTTTCTAAACACTTTCCAAGTGATCTGGCAAAGAAAGCCCTTTTTTCCTTATCTCCTGTACCTAACAAGTCTTTCTCCATAGTCAGAGCACCCAGCTTCAGCTGATGAGTAACTTTAGTGAGAAAATTCTCTTGAAAATTTCATTAGAAGTTTCTCAGAAGAGTCAGATGGATATGAGCTACACCTGACCTCTGCTCAAACTTTGCAGAGCAGCTCAAACCACACTGCCTGCTCCTCAAGTACCTGAATTATATTTTAACACTAGAAATTTTAGAGAACCTGCCTTGTGTGGTGTACACCAGCATGCATTAGATTAATTTAGACAACACACAGAGAAGGAGTTTTCAGGAGTGACAGAGCTAACTCAATTTTGCAGTTTAACTTACTGTCATGAAATGTTGTGAAACCAGTGTCCATAAGCTGGAAATGTTTATATAGCAAGGCAAATTTGAAAACATTTTAACGTCTTGAGCTGATTCTCATTTTTACCAGTTATTTTAATAACTTACCTGTATTTTGTGGTGTTCAGGCCAATTGTCAAACAAACCTTGCCCTGACAACCCAGTTCTCCACTGACAGCAAAGTAGTTACCTTTAAGCCAATCACATTTTTCTAAAAATGGAGACTATTGCATATTTGGTTTGATACTGGGGTGCTAGGTTCTTAAAACAAGCACAAAAATCCCTTAATCAGAGGGAAATAAAATGTCTGGAACCAAAAGAGCAAGACTCACAGGAATTCACATTGCAGTAAGGTTGGAACCTTACTGCAGCACAGGTACATTATATTGCAGTGTATGTCCATGTATAGACACTGTAAACATGTGCTGTAATATTTAGATTACAGCATAAAATAAAGAATGTACTTTTTTCAAAAGCTAATGCATTTATCTACTTAGTTAAAAAAGTAGTTTCTGCCCTTCCTTAGATAATCCAGCTGGGACTGTTTGCTGTTAAGACACGAAGCTTCTTGGTCCAACATCTGCCAAACAGCCAGCAAGGGGAAAACAGTTCTAGATTCTGCAATTACTGGCAAGCTCAAGTGATGATCAGCTTTAATAATGCACAAAGTGGATGCCTATCCAAAACCACCCACCTCAATTCAGTTTTTGCAATGAAACACAAAAACCTAAGCCTTGAGTACAAGTGAGCCTTGACCATTTACCACAAGCTTTTCATGTTCACAGCAGGTGTTAATCACCTTTACATAGGGAGTACTGTAAGTACTTCCATAATGATATTTCAATCTGTATTTTCAGGAGAAATCAAAAAGATCATTAAAGGAGCTTCATCTCCTCTCCCACAAGAAAAATCATTTCAGCTCTTATGAGGAAAGGTATTTTAGCACTTAAGTTTTTACCTAGGAAATAATTTCCATGGTGGGGAAAAGATCCAGTATTGAGACATTAATTCTCAGTGTATATGTAAACTGCTGGGTTGAACCTTGTGTCTCAGTATCTCTCACCAAAGGTCTTGCACTACACAACTTGTCCAAGTTTGACAAGCAACATTCTGGACAAACTCTAAGCAATCAGTATTAAAAATAAAAGCCTAATTGCTGCAAGCTTTCTGTTGATGTTTGTCAAATTGTCCTCTATTAACTCTATATTGGGAAAAATGCCCCTCAAGCCAGTATGTAACACATCACCTATCCAGACTGTGATGAATACAACAGGGAGCTGCAGTAAGAAAAATGAGACTGTCTGGAAATATCACACAGTTTTGCAGCAACTCCCTTGTACAGTAACTAAATGTTAATGTTTCGAGAAGCACTAATGAAGAACAGTCAATCTGCATCAAGTGTGATGTTTTATGAGATAGCATCACCCATTACAAAAGAGAGCAGTTCTGGTGGTTTTTCAGTCTCTAAGCAGGCTGTCACTACAGGTACCATACCCAGCATGGGAGACAGCACATTATTGTCTTCGCTTCCTGAGTTTAAAAAGACGTCAAGTGCTTCCTGGTCAGACATGTCCATTAGGTCCATCTGCTCCAGCATGTCCACGTTCACCTCCATGGAAGACATACTTCCAATTGGTTCTGCAGGAGAAACAGCACAAATGACCATCAGCTACACGAGGTTATTACCTACCAAGGCTCCAGAGGCTGCTCTAATTGTCTGCAGCAGCAATAATTAAACTTAGGAATGGAAGGAGCCTGCCCACAGGAGCTGCTCAGCAGCAACCTCAGCCCAAATCCAAGAGCACTGTGTGCAATCTTTGTTGTGAAACTCTCATCCATTACTGCTTCTGTAAACCAAAACATTTTTAGCAGCAGTATTTATAGCAATAACCTTCTCAGAAATAAGCTGAGATGGGACTCAGGCACCAGGATTGAAACTTTCCATTTTGGAACACTCCTTTTCAATTTTCTCAACCAGAAGTCTTTTTAAAGAAAAGCAAACACATTTAAGGACACAGTCACTAAATGTCAATATACAAGGGACACAGAAATTCAGAAACCAGGATTAATGTTATCAGAGAGCAGCTGTTCTTCTCTCAGTTAATCTAAGAAATTACAGCAGTCTGTAAAACCCAGGCTCATGCCCAGTATCTTCTCTCAGTATGGGTATTTCACATTACTAATTACTCAAGCAAATGACTTATTACTGTCAATACAGTATTGAGAATTTGTAAGGGAAGTAAATACTTGGATGAGTATCTTCTTCCTTGAACAGCAAAACATGCAAACAGGAAACAAGTAAGTTCAGGGCCACTCAGATTTAAATCCACCTGCTGCATAGTATCAAATTATTACAATCAACAGTTTACTTGTTTATCTAAAAGTAACAATTACATTACTGAAAGCCTTCATGGGCGAACTGGGATTAAATTCTGTAATTTGATTGGGGGATTTTTTTTTTCAAATATGCTACAGCTCTGCAGTTTTACATGTACTGCAGGTCCAAATCTTTCATTAAAACAGTTTCTTTGATACACTCAGGCTCCACATTATCCTAAAAAGCTGAAGTTCCAAATGCTAGGCAGCCTAACACTCTAACAGAGCTGTGTTTCCAGTCAGCCCATGGCAATGTCCACTTTTAGTCTAAAGGCAACCAAGTACAGAATGCAGGAGACTCATACTCTGTTCTTCCCCTAACCATGAATTTAGACTTACATGTCCCACCTCTCCTTAGCTACCCATGCAGAGCATCTTGCAGATGAGTATTTATAGCACTCATGCAGAGAAATGGAAACCTGGGATTGTATTCCCCCCTCTGACATTACAAATGATAGCAGAACTGCACTTGGAGCAAGGACAGAATATCTACATTTTTCCCTGCCACATGAATGCATAATTTCCCACTGGCTTCCTTACCAGTCCAACAATCCCTGCATTTTGGCCTAACAGATGGAAACCTCCCACACAGAATTCCCAGTAATCTCTGGCATTCTTTTGCTCTAACTGGTCTGGAGACGCCAGACTTGTGTCATTTCATAATAAGGAGAGCACTTAATGTGACCTCCTGTGTCCTAATCACACCCAGTGGGAATAGCTGCCACCTGGGAAGTGCTCAGAAATGCTACAGTGAACTTTCCTCTGCACTACGCAAAATTTTCTGAGGCATCTCCTTGCCAAATGAAAATCCCAGGCTTTGGAACTCCAGTGGACAAAGCAGCTGCCCCCATCCACATTTTTACATAGATGGACTCTTCAGCTGCAGAGAAAAACGCTGTTCCAGATGTAGTTCAGTGCTCTGCATTTCCTCAGACAAGGAGCAGAGCCTGACTAATGTTCTCACATATCCAGTAACCCTGAGACACAAAGTTTGTTGAAAAGGCTTATCTGAAGTTCCAGTTTTACTGAGGAAGAATTTGGATATTTTTGCTGTGCTTCCTCTGTAAGCACTGCTGGCTCTGCCTGCTCAACAATGCTCTCCAAGCTGGGACTTTGTGCAAAAGGCATTTTACAACTTGCCTCTCCTCTCTGCTATCTGCAAGTATCCAGTGGAAAGGTATTGCTCCATGTCCTGCTGGAAGGCTTCTTCAAAGAACTTCTGGCGCTCCTTCAGCTTCATCTGCTGGGTGTGCTCCATGTCCAAAACCTTCTGCGCATGTTCAGCATCGAGTTCAGCTGAGCATAAAACAAACAGACAAATCAAATATTGCAGGTGTATCCCCCCACTCTCAGAACTAAAAACCTACAGAACCAGTTCAATAAATTCTGACAGACTGTTATTGCAATAAGAGGAGCTCTCTGTGCTTTGCAACTGTATTTTAAACCAGGATGGGAATACCGTATTAAGCAGCATAACCTTCACATTAAAGTGATGTCAGAACCATTTATCTTGAGGCAAGATGCAAATTTCCTGAGCTGTATAAACAGGAACACCTGAGAGCACTGTCCATCAACAACTGGGATTTCAGAATCCTGCAAAAAAACCCTGAGGTAATGATGTTTCTGCAGCCATATGCACCTAATGCACACAAAAGCAACATTTTTATTTGAATATTGCCGCACATTTCCACTACAATGCAGGTAGCAAGATACATATATGTACTTATATGTACACACATATAAATACACATACATAAGTGTGTGTATGTGCACGTGTGCCTGAGATTCTGGCTTTGCCAGCCTCCAGACAGAATGGAAAAATTCCATAAAGAATCCTACATTTTTGTGCAGCAAAGGAAATGTTAGACAGAATTAGGAAATGTTAGACAGAATATCATTAGAGGAACTCCTTCCCCTCTGTTTTGCTCAACACTGAACAGAGGGGAAAAGAATTGTGCTGTTCATTGCAGAATAACATCTTCTAGAATAAAAATATGTAATTGCTGTTGAAGCACTGACTGCAGCCAGACTGTCAGAACATGCTTCAGAAAAATTGCTTTTTAGGAGGAATATATAACCTGGAACCCTTTTCCCAGAGTTCTCTGTTCACTTTTCTGGTGTCATGAGTGCTCTGCTTACAATAAAAAAAAGAATTTTCCAGCTGAGCTACTGATGGAAGGGATGGGGGTGGCGAGAAGAGCTGCTGGTCTGTTCCGTTCTGCCCATTAGGGAAAGCTCCAACAAATACCACTGGGTGAAAAATGTCCAAGCTTTCACATGCCAGACAGACACAGCTGGAATATGGAATCCATATGGATAAATGCTGAGGGCACATAAGGTTTTCTAGGACAAGCATTGTGTCAGTCTTCCAGGAAAAATGTTATGTTAATGATATTCTACAATATGGACATTCATTAAAAGCATTTACTATTATGGAGATTATTGCCCAAAAGCAGAACATGTTTTATTAAAGCAGGCAAAACATCAGAGAGCAGTTAATTCACTCTGTTGCCTGCATCAAGGTCACAGATCATACACAGAAGCAACTGAACTGTGCTTGATGCCAAAAGAAGCCAGGAAACTGGACTGGCACACCAGATATTCATTAAAACATCAGTAAATAAGCAGAACTCTCTTTCTTAAAGGAGATTTCAGAAGTAAAACATCAGTGTATAAAAGGAATGCATCTTCCCTGAAGGCAACATGTCTTTATTATCAATTACACTGTGGTGTACGATGACTCCGTGTCCCCTGGAGCAACTCCTTTACTGCAGTCCTGGATGATGAGCAATTATTAATAACATTGTCTCTGATGCAGAAATGCTATTCAATTGTAATAATAAAAGCCAGCGGCTCTCACAGACAATGCGAATTTTCTGTCTGTCTCATAATATATTCCGACAGTTTTGCACTCTGGATTGGTAGTTCAGGATATTTTTAACCCCAAAACAGAGATGGCATCCAAGTGAGACTTGATACAATCTCTTTCTCGACATTGAGCTCTTTGTTTTTAAATTTTGCCTAAAATGTCCTGTAAACTGTTGAAATTGTCACTGGCCAGAGCTGAATGGCAACAGCTGCCTGCTGTGCTGGCATGTTCCACAGGAAAATGTAAACATGGAGCTGAGGAGCTGTCACAGGCTTGCTCTCCAAAGTCAGGTAGAGAGTTAACATCTAGAACCTGGCTGCACGATTTCACGCCCTGCCAGGTGTAGTAAGAGGTGCTTGGCTAAGCAAAACCAAACTGCTGCGTTTGGGTTTTGTGTTTGTTGTCAGAAATGCTAAGGATGGGATGTGAAGCCAACCATCAAACATGAAACCAAAGGAAACAGGTGCATTGTTTCTTTCACAGAGCTACTCAGAATTACATTTTCCCTAAGCCAAGTGTAGTTTATAGAACACTGAACAGACACAGAACCAAAGGAGTTCCAAGAAAGACAAGAGTATCATCCATATGCCATCATACACTGCTCATATGAATTCCTCCCAGGATGCAAACTGAGACTTGGCACGCTTAAAATACTATTGTATTTTGACTTTCACCCTAAAACTGTACTTTTCAATTAGCAATGGCACCTATATCTCTATCAAACTGCTGTGCACAGAAAAAAGACAGACTACACAGAAAATGCTAAAGCACAATTAGACGCAGACATACAGGAGCTGCCACAGTAACCCAAATAAAAGATGACTAATCCCCACCAGCTACAACTTTTAAGAGAGCAGACACTAAAAGTGGCAATTTTTTTCTGAAAAAGTGAACACTCGAGTGCTGAGGCACAGCCTTCTGCACCATGCCCAGGAACAGCCCCACAGCTCACCCTGCTCACCTCAGGGTACACCCCACAGCCTGACACCCCTGCCCCATATCTCCAGTGTTTGAACAGGACACCAGGAGAATCCAAACTCCAAAGGAACAAATGACAATAACTTGTAGCCATACACCTCAAGTGTAGAGGACACCATTTCCTGGTATCACTCCTAGGCCTGGCTGACACTTCCTACAAATTAAAATTCTGCTGGAGTACCCAAAGCGTCTATGCACCCAAAATGACCATTTAATGCTTTAATCTAAAACATTTTCCAGCTATGCACAGCAGATTTCCCAAATAAGCTGGAAGAGTGATTTTAAAAAGAATTAAAATTAAAAAATAAAAAATCAGCACCTGAAAAAACCAGGGTGTTTACATGGCTACCACATCCCTTAGACCCAACATGAAAGATGTCAAGTTGTCCAAATGGATGGCTTTTTGGTGCTTTCATAGACAACCAGTTTACTTCCCTTCAATTAATTTATTATGTAACTTTACATCTCATGTGATGTAGAACCCATAAATGCATCTGGTCTAAGGAGAGAAAGACACAGAGAATACAAAAAAAATGCCCCTTTTTTCTCCCTCTACAGTTCATTTGCTTTTTGTAGACTCATCCAATCAGACCATAAAATGCATGCACACATTCTTTGCAGGGTTTTTTTGCTTTTGCTACAGATATCAAACCTTCAAGCAGCCCTTCACTGAACTCACTGCTGGTTTTTGATGTTCCTCCTGTGCTGGGGGAGCTTGAAACTGGACATGGCATGAAGACACGCTGGGTAGAGTATAATCCCTTCCCTTGAACTCCTGGCCACATTCCCAGTCACACGGCCCAGGGTGCTGTGGCCTTCCCTGCTGCCAGATGCGCTACAGGCTGGTACCCAGCTCGCTGCCCATGGGACCCCCAGGGCTTTTCCATGGAGCCAGGGTCATCTCCAAGCCCGGAGCCAGAGCCCTCTATCATCTCCTCTGGGACAGAGCTCTGGCTTCTGGCCCCATCCCCCAGGTAGGGAATGACCCACAAAGCACCACCCTCTCACCCAGCCGTCATTTGTCCACCCTGCTGCGCATCCATCCAGACTGTAACATCATCACTCGGCTGCAGGAGCACCCTGTGAGATTGTCAAAGCCTATCAGCAGGCTGGCTACTCACTGAACAACCAAAATCCTTCAAAAATCAGAACAGCAGAATCATAAAAGCAGACAATGGAAGGCAGACAGCCAAGCAGCTTTCTGAGCGCATCATGACTTAGCAACCTATCCTGCAAACTGCCTCGTTACAGACCTTTCCAACTAAAAATATCAAAGGAAGACGAGGCACCAGGGAGTGCTTCAAAGGATGCAGTTTTCCTCAAAAATGTTTAAATTATTCTTGACAGAACTTAGAATACATGTTGATGCTATAAGGGAGGATGTGCAGAGCACTCTTGCACTATAGTTTGCTGACAGGTGGGGAGCGTGTGTTAGCAAAACACAGGGGGAAAAAAGTAGAATAAAGGATCTAGGTGCACACAGTCTTTCTTCCACAGAAGAATGAAAGGAAAACAAGTGAAAACTACAAGTCCTCGGTGTTTTTAAACTCTTATTTAACAGTCTCTTTACAAAGCAATTTGGTTTTACTAAAGATATAGTCAAATAATTATCATTTTAAAAATTCACTAGAATGTGAAGTCAGGATTTCACTCAATGACAGATCTGTGTTTGAAAAAAACCCCACTGATCCAAATGAGATTTACTGTCTGCCAACTCTTTAAAGCCTGCACTTTCATGAAGAAATGTTTGACTTAAATTAAGATTATAAAAAAAAATCAGTCATTAAAAATGACTGTACATACTTCTTGATAATACCTAAGTACAGTTTTTATAGATTGCGTCAGAATATGAAATGACTGTACATACTTCTTGATAATACCTAAGTAGGGTTTTTATAGATTGCATCAGAATATGAAAAACTCTAGTCAAGAAAAGCAGAGGTTTTACCAGTGCAGAGACATTTTTAACATTACCCAGCAAGCAGTTTCAACAAGTTGGCTTACCTTAAAAATTCTCTTTAAACAAAAAAAAAAGCTTACTTGAAATCCTTGAAATATAAAGGATAAGCCTAAATAAATATCAGAACAAACCACAGAAAATAGGTGCCTGTGTACAGCAGGATTCCAGTTACTAACGCAGCACCTGGAGGAAGAGGCAGCTTCCAACCAATGTGACAGGAAACAGCTTGGGAAAAGGTTTCCACAGAACTCCAACCTTTATCTGGCTACCAGGAAATCATCATAATTAAGAGAAACTAAAAATATGCTCCACCAAAGAGCAAATGCACAAACTGAGTACTAAAAATGTAAATACATCTAGAATTTAAAAAAAAATAAATTAATATCACATTTGTGATTAAAAATACACCAGGCTGAGAGGACTGCTCCACAAAGTGACCCGCTCCATAATGGAGTCTCATTTTAGAACTAGATTTGCTGTGGTTCATAA